CTTAAGTGGAGAGGAAATGTTTTGAGAATGATGAGGGCAATGAATGTACAAATGTGCTTTACACAATTGACGTTTGTATGGATTGTGATAAGAGTTGTATGAGCCCCTAATAAAATGAAGAAAAAGAAAAAACCTAGAAGCTTATTTTTATTGACTGTTTATTTATTTGACTTGCATAAACTTTTTTTCAGGTTTGTTCAGAGCTGTTTTAAGATAAGAGTGAAAGCTAGAATTAAAAATGACCAGAAGTGGGCATTTATTTATCTGTATTATTTTATGCAAACCAAGAGTGGACTAACCGCAGGGGCCCTGGCCCTGTGGCTGTCGTTGTCCTCGGTTGGTTTCTTGCGGGCGGAGGCCAAGGCCAGCGAGGGTTGCATTGCTTTTCACTGCTTTTCCCTCCCGCTGCTCCACTTTCTACATTAGTGTGTTTGAAGGTAGACAAGTAACTCAGAACATCCAGGACCTGGCTCCTCTTGCTACATAGTAACTAACCTCTGCTTCCAGAGGGTAAAAGAAAGTTGTTCCTTCTAAAGATATTTCATATTAATGTGACAATCGCTTTAGTTAGCTGTTTTGCCTTACATTGCAAAAATACTTAATCTCAGCTTATTAAAGGTGCAAGCTTACACTTTTCTCTCCACTTCATGTGGTCCCTGTTTATATTGAAGTGGTTTTTAAGATCCTTGTAAGAGGCGGGCTTCAGAAAGTTTGTGGGAAATGCAGTACAAAGATAATGGGGAAAGGAGCCCTGATGGCCGAGTGTTTAAGCCCTGGACAGTGATCTGGAAGGTCTGGAGTTCGAAACCACCAGCTGCTCCTTGGGAGAAAGACAGGGCTTTCAACTCCCATAAAGAGTCAGTGTCAGGCTCACAGGGGCAGTTCCACTCTGTCCTCGAGGATCACTGAAAGTCGGCCTTGACTCGATGGCAGCGGGATTTTTTTCTGTTTTTTTTTTATGGATCCGATGAAGGCTTAAGGAGCAGAGCTTAGTTTTACAGCAAGACATGTAAACATTTTATTTCATCTCCTCCATTGACACCCCCTCATCAGCCTTGCATATATTAACCCTTTCCTCCGTGTCCCCAGTTCCCATCTTTCCCAATTGGCTGACCGACCCTCTGAACCCTGTACTTGCACACAGTGCCCTTTCCCTCTTCTCCCATGGGGTTGAGCTCACTTCCTGACCTGGAGGGGGACTGAGTATGATAAGGGATGGTCTCTGGCATATTGTCGCCATTTTTTGAAAGGCTGGGCCCTGCCGGTAAAGTCTTCATTCCCCACTCACGTACCCACAGCACCCCCTCTGGCCGCAGTGAGCGCCTGCTCTCGGGTGAAAGGGGCTCTTCCTCCGTCTTGGTTACCCCTGAGTCTGAGGTGCTGCTGCTCCTGCCCCACAGAACAAGACACTCCTGTCTTCAGTCTCGGCAGAGGAAGGAGGGGCTTGTAGGTTCTTCTTTCCTCTTGGAACTCCCACTTCACTGTTGGGCAGGTAGGGGTTTTGTTGAATTTCTAGAAAGTGCACTCCAATGTTAGATGTTAAAAACTTCTGTGGTAACAAAACAAGGCGAGCTCCCTTGATATTTTGACATTTTAAATAGGATTCGTTGGGGAGGCTAGAACGAATGGACTTCCTTCTTTTTCTCCTTTACGAGATCTCTTTAAAATGTTGTTGGTCAGGGCTGTGGAGTCGTCCCATACTCCTAGTGACCCCAGTACAGCGTTAGGGAACCTGGCCAGTGGGTCCTGCACCATTCTCACCATCGTCGTAGCCACGGGGTCAGGCCATCTCATCGAGGACCTTCCTCGTTTACCTGCCCTCCGCTTCACCACGCAGGATGCCCTTCTCCAGGGACTGCTCTCACCCGATAATGTGTCCGAAGTACACCAAGACAAATGCCATCATCCTCAATTCTTTAAAAACATTTTTTTTTCATCCTCAATTCTAAGAGGCATTCTGGCTGTACTTTTTCCAAGACAGACACTCAGCTTTGGAACCAGACCATGGGCTGTGTGCTGTGAGCCTATCCAGGGAAGGGTCGGGAAGCTCAAGAATGTGCCACAGTGACAATGGCCATGCTCAGACAGTGCTCTCCCACCCGATAGCCTCCTGTACCCCGCCCTGAAGCTGTCCATCTCTCAGACGTCTGGGCTTTTTGACCCGAACACCAGCATGCTTTGACCTGGACCCTCGGCCTCTGAGATATTGCTGCCTTGGACAGCCAGTGTGCACTGGCCCCCTCAAGCCCTCGGCAGCCATTTGTTCCTTGCTGAATCAGTAAGATGTACTTGTTGTCTCCTCTCCAACTAGGGAGTTGTTTATGTGCTTAGAAAGACATGTTGCCGTGTTGGAATACTGGTGAATTAGGATGGAGAAGCATCCATATGTGTGATAGGTGAGAAAAATCCCACTTGTACCTGGCCCTGAGGGCCCACCTCCAGTCCTGCCATGTGTTGTCTTTGGCCTGCTTGGTACTTACTTATTTTTCAGAATCCCATGTCTTAGGGGTGGCATACACAGATCCAGGCTCTGTATTTTTACGCAGACCCAGGTGTTGCAAGTTTTCTGCATTTTATCACTGTGCGTTACTTTAGCTGACTCCTAAGTGGTCTGATCACTTGTCAAAAGGGCTTAAGGGAGGACAGCCTGCTGACTGGACACTTCCCAAGTCTGATATTTTGCTTGTTTGTCCTTCTGGTGGTCCGTGGCACTTAGAATATTCTTCGCCAGCACTGAAAAATAAGCTTAGAGAGGAATTTGAAATGGTGACGTTGGAGACGGCGCACTCTTTGTTGGGGTAAAATGGAAGAGCTCGTCAGATCATCCGGGAAGTTGTCCTTGAGTCGTACAATAGTTAGCCCGTCCTCACTTTGCAAATGTGTACGCTTTCGCCCTTCCCGCCTTGTTGTCAGTTTTCGGATGCTCTTGAGGTGCTGAAGCTCTTTGTCTTGGGATTATCCTGGAACCTGGAACGGGTGGTGGTTGCTCTATCTCAGCCCCCGAATTGACCGTCTTGGAAGTGGGGTTGACATGGCGCTGTCAGCGTGGACTTCCGTGGAGGCTTACTTGTGCTTGGGCACGTGGAGTTGAAAATGGCCAGCGTTTCAGAGAACTGGGACAGACGGCTGTCTGGCAACTGCTGTTGGTGTGTAGTCTCCTGGTGTCCTAGCTGTTGGCAGAGCTGGAAAGCACCGTGCTGCTGAATGTTGAAGAATGGGCGCTCTGAGAAGTTTTACTTCCCGCCATTTTCCTGCCAGCATTTCCAGGGGGTGGAAGTTGCTGTGGCCCTGTGCTGAGTGGGGGGTGTCTTGGGGGTCCACCCATGAGTTTGCCTTGTTTGTACTTGTGCTCTTCTCCCCTGGCCTTTACGCTGACTCACTTGAGGATCGGCCCATATTATACTGGGGGAACTGTCACAACTGTGTAAACAGGAAGTGATGACTTGTGGGACCCAGGCCCGACCTTGACCTGGTAGAAGTGGTTTACAGATAATTAAGTGTGAAACTTTCCACCTCCCGGTTCTCGAAAATGACCGAGTTTGGGTGGTGGGTAGCGAAGCATTTTTTATGATAACGGCAAATTTTACCTGTCCCTGGGGTTCAAATTGTGCATGTGAAATGACAAACGCCCTCAAATGTGATGATCAGAGATCCTTCCAGAAATTTAATTCCAACCTCCCACTCCCACCGCCACCCTCTCCCCCCTGAGAAGGAAGGGAAGTGGAAACACTGGTGGGCCCTGCCGAGGAAACCCTGAGCCAGTAATGAAAGCCCCTGGGGTTGTGCCTGTTTCTGCAGGGAACGTATGTTAACTCACTGTGTTTGGTTTTTAATAGACACCAAATCCTACTGCGAGCGAATTTATTCCCAAAGGAGGATCAACTTCCCGGCTGAGCGCCGGGTCCCAGTCAAGTATGTCCGCCTTCTCTCAGGTGTTCTCTCACCCATCCCTGGGAAGCCCCGTCACTGCTGGACTAGCACCAGGTAAGTCGAGCGCCTGGCTCCAATGAGTTCCACATGTCGAACCTGCAAACACCATTTACTGTGTAGTCTTACCACAGCGAAACTGTGTACTTGAATGATTCACGGTTTTTAAATCATTTTATTGGGAGCTCTTACAGATATTACAACAGTCCATAATTCACTTTGATCCAGCATAATGGTAAATCGCTACCACCGTCAGATGTAAGGCGTTTTCTTTCTTCTTGTTATTCACGTTTTGGACACATTCTGGATCTGATGTCTTTGTGTTTGGCACCCCAGCCTGTGTGAAAGACGGAGAGCACCATTGCAGCATGTGGGAAAGTGGCATGTAAGGAACTGTGGTAGCACAGAAATGACTGGGGAGCAGGAAGTATCCAGGGAAAAGTAACTTCTCTGCCTGTGCTGTCACTCAGAGGTGTCAGCAAGCGCATCTGAAACCGAGGGCCCACAGGTGGGCACAGGGGCTTCCAAGTCCTCTTCAGTTGGTACATTTCTGAAGGGGTAATTTATCCTCTGCCACTCTAAATACTCCCGTAGCTGTTGCTCTGCTGATGGAGAATAGTGGGACAGAGAGGCCTCGAGTTAGAGGCTGTGGGGAGGGAAATGGGTTTCCTGCTTCACGCCTCCCGCGTTGACTTGCTCGTCAGGGTGGAAGCACCAGAGCAAATGTCACACATACATATCCACCCGGCATTGTGCAAAGTAATGCTTTGAGAGACTAATGGGTGCTTGAAAAGTCCCCTCTGTCACCTTAGCAATCCATCCAAACTCTGTGCTCTACTCCAGAACGGATGCATGGTTTTTGTTTGTTTTTTTTGGTGGTGGTGGTGGGGGCTCATACAACTCTTATCACAATCCACACATACATCAGTTGTGTCAAGCTTATTTGTACACTTGTTGCCATCATCATACTCAAAACATTTACTCTCCACTTAAGCCCTTGGCATCAGCTCATTTTCCCCCCTCGCTCCCTGCTACCCCCCGCCCTCATGAACCCTTGATAATTTATAAGTTATTATTTTGTCATATCTTACACTATCCGACATCTCCCTTCACCCACTTTTCTGTTGTTCGTCCCCAAGGGAGGAGACCGTCCCTCCACCCTCTTGGTATTGCCACTCTCAGCACTGGTCCTGAAGGAATCATCTGTCCTGGATTCCCTGTGTTTCCAGTTCCTATCTGTACCAGTGTACATCCTCTGGTCTAGCCAGATTTGTAAGGTAGAATTGGGATCATGATTGGGGGTGGGATGGGGGTGGGAGGAAACATTTAGGAACTAGAGGAAAGTTGTATGATTCATCGTTGCTACATTGCACCCTGACTGACTTATCTCCTCCCCGCGACCCTTCTGTAAGGGGATGTCCAGTTGCCTACAGATGGGCTTTGGGCCCCCACTCTGCATTTCCCCTCATTCACAATGATATGATTTTTTGTTCTTTGATGCCTGATAACTGATTCCTTTGGCGCCTTGTGATCACACAGGCTGGTGTGTTCTTCTCAGCTAGATGGGCGCGTGTTTACCCTCAAGCCTTTAAGACCCAGATGCTATATCTTTTGATAGCCGGGCACCATCAGCTTTCTTAACCACATTTGCTTATGCATCCATTTGTCTTAAGCGATCATATTGGGGAGGTGAGCACAAAATAAGATTTTATGTTCTTTGATGCCTGATAACTGATCCCTTTGGCACCTCGTGATCACACAGGCTGGTGTGTTTCTTCCATGTTTTGTTGCTTCTGAACTAGATGGCCACTTGTTTACCTTCAAGTCTTTAAGACCCTAGATGCTATATCTTGTTAGCTGGGCTCCATCAGCTTTCTTTACCACATTTGCTTATGCACCTGCTTTGTCTTCAGTGATTGTGTCGGGAAGGCGAGCATCATGGAATGCCAGTTTAATAGAGCAAAGTATTCTTGCATTGAGGGAGTACTGGAGTGGAGGCCCAATGTCCATCTGCTACCTTAATACTAAGCCTATAAATATATGTACATAGATCTGTTTCCCCATCCTTACATATAAATATATTTACATATGTAAATGCCTTTATTCAATCCTTTATAAATGCCCTTTGCCTTCTAGCTCTTTCCGCTATTTCCTTTTACTTTCCTCTTGTCCCACTATCGTCAGATGCATGGTTTTAATCTGAGCATAAGATAGCTTCCCACAGAGACCCACATCACCTTCCTCCATTGCCACACACCTGGTTGAGAAAGGTTAAGCTGTGTAAAATCCTGTGCCGGCCACTGTGGGGCTGAGTGGGGTGTCAGATATTTGAGCTGCTCACACTGTGCTCCTTCGAGAAGCTGTACTAGTGACTGTCTTGGTCATGTCCACAAACAACTTCAAAATGAAGTGTTAGGTACAGAAGTGATGATCGCAACATATGTACAAATGTGCTCCACACAATTGAGGTCTGAATTGTTGTAAGAGCTCCCAATAAAATGATTTAGAAAGAAATAAAACAATGCATTTTAATTTAAAAAAAAAGATAAGAAAGAACAGTTAGGCACATATCGAAAATATCTACCCACATGGTCTGGCAGCACCATATTTCTACACAGATGCCCCTGCCTGCCTGTCGGGGGAGGGCATGGTTGGCAAAGAGATGCAGATGGCTGGCTCTTTGTAGACAGCCCAGACCCAAACCCATCCCTGAATCAGACCCACAGTGACCCTGTGTAGGTACGCGGTTTCTGAGGCTGGGAATTGTCAGGAGAGCAGGCGGCCTCCTTCCTCTGAGGAGCCACTGACCTGGTGGTTAGCTACCCAGTCCGCCCCTCACCCACCCCACCCCCCAAGCGTCTCCAGGGGCCCTGCTCTCAGAAGGCAGGTCTGCCTTGTTTGAGTAGAAATATGGAACTGCTGCCCCAGAAGTCAGATGCATCTCTGGCGTGGACACTGACAGCTCCGTCTGGGACCTCTTAGGGAGAAGACTGAGAGCAGGTCATCGTAGCGTTGTGGGCCTGGGGCTCCCTCTGCTTTAGCAAACACAGTATCAGGGTTCTCAGAGTCTGACTGACCTCATGCTGCCAAGGATTTTGTCTGAGCCAGGTCCCCACCCCTCCCTGACTCTTCACCGCCCTTATGCCCTCCCCTCGTTTCCCATGCCCCTCACTCCGCTGAGCTCCATGGACTTTTCAGGTTCAGTGGCATTTCCTTTCCTTGAGGATTCTCAGAATTCCATGGCCGCTTGTGGCCTCAAACGTTTACTTATAAGTGCTGACCGTCCACTCCCTGAGCATAGCCATCCTGCAGCTGCACATCCCAGGCTTCCCGGCAGCGTCTGCCGGTATCTGTGTGTATTTTATGACTAGGCGCACATCCTATTGGTTTTCTTCAAACTGCACGAACCCTCACCCAGGAGTTCCATAGGCTCTCTTTGTACAAAGTATTTGTGTGGGTGCATTATATGTGATAGAAGACGGCATGGCTGTTTATGAATATCCCCCCAGTGGTATCGAGTGGATTCTGACTCACAGCAGCCCCCCAAAAGGGCCGCCCCCCAGGGTTTCTGATGCTGTCAGTGTCTGTGGGAGCAGACAGCCCCATCTTTTCTCTCTCCCCTGGGTTTAGGGCCATTGTGTGACCCGCTGTACCCCTTTGCTTCTGGGGTCTGTTGGTAAAGCAATCCCAATAAAGGGTCCTGAGCCAGTGAGAAAACGGCCTTTCTAAACTCGGCACCAATGTAAATCCATGCCTAACGCATCCTCTCTTGTTTGAAAACATTTGTATGTGAAAATAATTCTGTCTCCATATTTGCTGAGACGAAGTCAGGCTTACCATTTATTAATCTCTTTGAATATGAAGAGGCTTCAGAGTCCATAGAAAAATTCCATGAACTTTATTTCCACTTTTCTCCCATAGCGAGAAAAGTACAAAATCTTAAAGGGACATTTAGCTCTAGAAGACATTTAGTTAAAAACCAAAACTCACTAATGCATTCAATTATTTAAAGCTTTTCAGTAATAATACTAGTATAAATTTGTGGGTCACAGGGTATTTTTTTCTTAATGGTCCCAGCTGGGCATCTCAATTTAAATCGAGGGTAAAATAATTAATTTAAAAATTAATTCTGCTGAAAAACTGCCCCTCTTCTATGTAGTCCTACCTAACATTAGAGTGATCATTCTACTTCCTGCTCATGGAAATAGCTGCTCTCTGGGATCATGGGAAATAGGTCAGATATCTGAGGAGGCTTCAGGTTCATGACAAAGTGGAATTTGTAAGCTTGTGGACATTTTCCATGGACTATTTGGATCCTTCCTTCATAGTGCATTAATTGTATTCCTGAGTTTCTATGCACATATGATTTCAGAGCTGTTCTTCATGTAAGTAACAGCAAACTAAGTGAAGCTGTATTTCGAAACACTAGGATGATGACTGTTTTTTTTTACATTTGCTATTTCTTTATAATTTGCTTTTTTAGCTAATGAATTAACATTTTCCACAGATGCTGCGCAAAGAAAATTAAATCTATCATTTTTAAAGTGCATTTTATCAAAATTGTGTGTTTTCAAAGATATAATAAGATAACAGGACAAGAAGAGACTTCAAAAATATATGTTGTTAAGCACTTCGACATCTTCCATCATTTCTCACTATAACTGTCATTTTCCCCAAGGGCTGGGGAAGGTTTCTTGAAGGCCTCATTTTAAAAGTTAGAGTAAATCAAGTAGTTGAATTTATTTGCTGTATATACTCGAGTATAAGCCGAGTTTTCCAGCACATTTTTAATGCCATTTTTGTGATAAAATTAGGTGCCTTGGCTGACATTCGGGTCAGTTTATACTTGAGTATATGCAGTACCTACTTTGCTGGTGACTCAATTGATCTTTAATGCTGCCTACCTACTGTGGGTTTAACTCATTGATGACGCTTCAGCTACAGAATTTTTTTGATTTCTGCCCTAGAAATTATTGCCCGTGTCAAATTGTCTTTTTAAGAAATATAAAACCTTACCTTTGGCAATCATATAAACTACAGTAACATTGGTTTTATTA